GTAACGGGGTACATTGACGGGGTGAGGTCCGGGTGCTCGTGGACACGGGTGCGTCGGCCACTATTATTTCGGACCTTATTTATAATATTCTTCCCGTCCAATGTCGACCACTTCTGCCGGTGGACGTACCATTTTACGCGGCGAACGGGGGATCTTTGGGAATCATCGGCCAGATTCGGGCGAATATTTGTATTGGCGACATTAAATTGGCGGGTCCTATTTTTGTGTCATCATCGTTGGCCGTTCCTTGTTTACTAGGCACGGATTTTCTGTCTAAAATGCCCATCAAAATTCTCATAGACCAGGCCTGCATTGAGCTTCCGTCGGGTCGGCGGGTTGAGTTTTTGAAGAGTCCAAATAAGATACGCACGGCTTGTGCGACGGTGCAGGCGCTGGCAACCCGGACTGTACGGGTGCCCCCGGGATCGCAAATGTTGGTACCCCTTCGGTTGAGGAAACCCCTTGGGGCGGATGCGGGGGCACAGGGAGTTCTATTGGGGCCGTCTAACAGGGCTAAAGGGGACCTCGACTTAGCGGTGGCCCAGACCATGGTGAGGGGGGACAGTGAGCCGTTCGTTGTGGTCCTGAATACGGGGTCGCGGCCGGCCGTGATTACGCAGGGAACGGTGCTCGCTCACGCCGCGCCGCTACCCGTCGAGGAACAGCTCGTTGCTCACGCCGATTCAAATGTCGATACGCATCCCCAAAGTGAGGAGGGGACGGAGTGGTTGGACTCGTTGTGTGCCGGGTCCAGTACCTTGTCCAGTGTGCAGTTGGGTGCATTGAGGGGCTTGCTGCTCGAGTTCGCTGACGTGTTTAGCAGGCACAAGTACGACATTGGCTGCACAGACCTGTTGCGCCACCACATAGAGACTGGGGACGCGGCCCCTATTCGACAGAATCCCTTCCGGCTCAGTCCAGCCGAGAAGGAGCATGTGCAGTCGGCAGTAAATGACATGTTGGCGGCCGACATCATTGCGCCCTCTTCCAGTCCGTGGGGTGCTCCTATCGTCTTGGTTAAAAAACAGGATGGATCCCTGCGGTTCTGTGTCGATTTCCACCGCCTAAACAAAATATCAATGGCCGATGCGTATCCGCTCCCCAGGATGGATGAGTCGCTGGATGCCTTGGCAGGAGCACAGTTTTTTTCGACGCTCGATTTGCTTTCGGGATTTTGGCAATTGCCCCTCGATGACGAATCAAAACCTAAAACCGCTTTCCGGACACCGGGAGGCCTATTTGAGTTCAACCGATTGCCCATGGGTTTACATTCCGCTCCTGCCACGTTCCAGAGGCTCATGGAATTGGTTTTGTCAGGCCTTCAATGGGACACCTGTTGATTTACCTCGATGATATCATCGTTTTCAGCCGAACTTTGAGGAGCACCTCCAGCGACTGAGAGCAGTGTTTCTCAGGATGCGTTCCGCGAAGCTAAAATTTAAACCAGCTAAATGTTTTCTGCTTCGGGAATCGGTCAGGTATTTGGGCCATATCGTTAGCCGTTCGGGGATCTCGACGGACCCTGCTAAGACGCAATGCGTCGGCTCATGGCCAACACCGACCTCTGTTACTGAAGTCCGCAGCTTCATAGGATTTGCCCCCTATTACCGTCGTTTTGTCAAGCAGTTTGCCACCATAGCCAGGCCCCTGCACGCTTTGACGGCTAAAGGGGTGCGGTTTCACTGGGGGCCGGAGGAGGAGGCCGCGTTCTGCTCCCTTCGTGACGCCTTGGTGCAGGCTCCCCCCTTGTGTTACCCCGATTTCACGCAACCGTTTGTGCTCGACACGGATGCCAGTAACACGGGTATCGGGGGAGTGCTCTCACAGGTGGTCGGGGGGGTCGAACGGGTGGTCGCCTACGGTAGCAGGGTTCTGTCCCCCGCGGAACAACGCTACTGCGTGACACGGCGTGAATTGCTGGCGATTGTGTTTTTTATACAGCAATTCAGGCCGTATCTGTATGGCCGTCACTTTACGGTTCGCACGGACCATGCGGCTCTCCAATACGCTATGCGGGTGGCGCAGCCATCCGGCCAATTGTCCCGATGGTTGGAGGTCCTTCAGGACTACCAATTCACGACGATTTACCGCAAGGGGTTGCGCCACTCGAATGCGGATGCATTGTCACGGTTGCCGACGCGTACGGAATGCGCATGTCAGTTAGGATCGGCGCGATGTAAACCCTCTGTCGCTGTCCCCGCGGAAGTGGTGCTAGCCGCCACGGATACTACGGGGGTCGACGCCCCCACGGGGAGGGACTCGCTGTTAGCATTGCCTCTCATCGAGTGGGGCCGTCTGCAAATGGCCGACAGCTCCCTACTCGCGCTACGTCGGAAGGTTAACGTTCCCGAGGGCGGGGAAACGCGGGTCGGTTCCTGGGTGTGCAGACAGGGCCTCTTGATGAAGTGGGACTCCATGTCCCGGCGTCACATGCTTGTGGTGCCGGTTGCTGTACGGGGTAAGGTCGTCCTGGCTGCCCATGAACGACTCATGCATCTGGGGTTTCACAAAACGCTCGCCCTCATTCAGCGAGACTACTATTGGCCTGGGATGGGAAATTACGTGGCGAACATTCTTAAGGGGTGTGTAGGGTGCGCTAAAAGAAAACCGCCACCAATAGCGGCTAATCCACCGCTGCAATCCATTCAAGTTTCGCGCACGAACGAATTGGTCGCGCTAGACATCTTGGGGCCCTTTCCCACTACACCTCGGGGAAATAAGTTCCTGCTGGTTGGCGTAGAGTACTTCACCCGCTGGCCCATGGCGTGGCCACTCGCCAACCAGTCGGCTGCGGCAGTGGCGGACGCCTTTGTCCAAGGTTACGTTTTGGACAAAGGCGCCCCCGAACGCTTGCTGACGGATCAAGGGAAAAACTTTTCGAGTGTTTTGTTGCGCGAGGTGTGCGACCTGTTGGGTACAAAGAAAGTACGTACCTCCCCGTACCACCCGCAGACTGACGGTATGGTTGAACGTCTGAACAGGACGATTACGTCTATGCTGTGCCAACAGGTATGCGACGACCAGGTGGATTGGGACTTACAGGTACCGGGGGTACTAGCGGCCTATCGGATGGCACCCCATGCGGCGACGGGGTTTTCTCCATTTTTTCTGATGTATGGGCGGGAGGCTGATCCGGCCATGGACGTCCAACTGGGGATTTCACAGCCACGTGCAAAATCTAAATTGGCAGACCACATTAAGTTTAACATCGCCAAATTGGCTGAGGCGCGAGAGGCTGCGAGATTGAATTCACGCTCTCGGCAGATCGCGAACGAGCGATTGCATGAACGGAAGGTGCATACGCACAATTGGGAACCGGGCGATAAGGCCTGGCTGCATTGTCCACACGCACCGTTGGCTACGTCCCCCAAACTGTTGAAACCATGGAGGGGACCGGTGGAAATTGTGCGGGTTGCACGACCCCAGAGTATACAGATTAAATGGGGAAAACGCCGTTGGTACGTGCACCCCTCCCGACTGAAACCCTACGCGGCGCCGCGTGACCCCGGGTTGTGCCGTGACGACCGAGCGTGTGATGTGACCGTCGACTCGGGGAGGGATGTGTCGCAGGCTGATCCTCACGTGTCTCCACCTGACCCACCCCCAGGTGTCTCGGACCTGACGGCTGTTGACCGTCGGGAACCGGAACCCCGCGGCTCGCGCGGAGCCCCGATGCCTGGCCCATGCCTTCCTGAACTGCTGGCGCCGCCGGATGGCCAACTGCGTCCTGTGCCGTACGACGGTCCGGCAAGGCGGACTCGGGCAAGGACGCAACACTTTTCATGAAAAAAAAAATAAATTTCTTTTTTTGTTAAAGCCCGACCTCGTTGCCGGCTTCCCCCTCTGCCGGGGTAATGTCCCGTTCAAGGGACGCTCGGACACATTGGGACGCTGCATGAGTCGGAGAGAAAAGAAGAGAAATGAATAAAGACATTTTTTTTATTGTTATTTTTTCCGCATACACAGTATCGTTGCCACTCGCCGGATTGTGCATGTTGTTCTTGTTGTGGGTGTGGGGGTTGCTGGGTTTTGCGGATTGCGGTGTTCATGTTGTGTTGTTAGGGTTTGTGTTATGTTACGGGGCACACATGGGGGTGAAGGGGTGTTGTATGTTTTATTGGCAGCCGGGTCGGCTGCGAGCTATGTGGTAGGGGGTGATGTAGTGGTGGTATTGACGTGCGCCGGCAGTGATGGATCACGGGGCGCGGGGTTGGGCACGCGATGTGGGCGTGGCATGGACGCGCGCGCCGGTGGTAAGGCGCGCTCACACAAGCTGGGAAAAGAGGATCGTAGCGAGTGCGCAGTGATTGTTCAGATAAGTGGGTGCTCTCAGCGACGTCCGCAGGAGGGGTATAAAGGGAGACGCGCGAGAGCACTCGTGGTCAGTGTTAACCAGTTGAAGACCGAAGACGGGGTGGAGGAGGTAGTGGCCCGAGACCCCTAGTCCCGCCGTCCTTGTGGGGACCGGGGCCCTGTGTGGGGACCGGGGCCCTGTGTGGCTCGGAGCCGAGACTGAGGGGACCGTAGTCCGACGCCCGTGTGGGTCGGGACGGTGGTACCCAGAGCCGAGACGGGCACCCCGGCTGGGTGTGTCCCGGAAGGCTACGGGGCGTAAGAGCACGTGTCAGTACAGCTGAGTGGGTGTTGGTCACCCGAGTAGCTGAGTGGGTGTTGGTCACCCGAGTAGCTGAGTGGGTGTTGGTCACCCGTGTAGCTGAGGGGGTGTTGGTCACCCGAGTAGCTGAGTGGGTGTTGGTCACCCGAGTAGCTGAGTGGGTGTTGGTCACCCGTGTAGTTGAGTGGGTGTCCGTCACCCGTGTAGCTAAGTGGGTGTTAGTCACCCGTGCAACGGAGTAGGGTGTTAGTCATCCGTGTAACTACAAGTTGGTGAAATAAAGAGTGTGCTACCCGTGAAGTCGTCTCCTGCCGAGTTACTACTTTACACATGCATGGACCCAGTTTCTCATCTACACCAGGACCCCCCCCCCCCCACAACGCACCCAGAGCCATGGAAATACGCGGAGGCACGAGACGTAGTGGAGAAGAAATCCGCGGAAGCACCGACGCATTGGAGTGTGCGTGTTTAATTAAAGGCACGGTCTTGGCACGATCACACAGACACACACAAGCAGTTCAGCCCTACCCCACCCCCAATGCCCTCACACACCGCGACTCCAACACCTAACCCCTACACCTAAACCCTACACTTAACCCCTACACCTAACCCCTACACCTAACCCCTACACCTAAACCCTACACTTAACCCCTACACTTAACCCTATACCTAACCCCTACACCTCACCCCTACACCTAACCCTTATCCCCTCACCCATAGCCTCACCACTACCCCCTCACCCATAGCCTCACCACTACCCCCTCACCCATAGCCTCACCTCTACCCCCTCACCCATAGCCTCACCACTACCCCCTCACCCATAGCCTCACCTCTACCCCCTCACCCATAGCCTCACCACTACCCCCCACCCATAGCCTCACCACTACCCCCTCACCCATAACCTCACCCCTATCACCTCACCCATAGCCTCACCCTTATCCCCTCACCCATAGCCTCACCACTACCCCCTCACCCATAGCCTCACTCCTACCCCCTCACCCATAACCTCACCCCTATCCCCTCACCCATAGCCTCACCACTACCCCCCTCACCCATAGCCTCACCACTACCCCCTCACCCATAGCCTCACCTCTACCCCCTCACCCATAGCCTCACCACTACCCCCTCACCCATAGCCTCACTCCTACCCCCTCACCCATAACCTCACCCCTATCCCTCACCCATAGCCTCACCCTTATCCCCTCACCCATAGCCTCACCCCTACCCCCTCACCCATAGCCTCACCACTACCCCCTCACCCATAGCCTCACCACTACCCCCTCACCCATAGCCTCACCTCTACCCCCTCACCCATAGCCTCACCACTACCCCCTCACCCATAACCTCACTCCTACCCCCTCACCCATAGCCTCACCTCTATCCACTTTACCCTGAGACTCACCTCAACCCCCAAATCCAGACCTTAACCCTCCCGCCCGCCCTCTGTGCCCTCGAAACCCTCACACAAGGTGCGTGTGCTGCGGTGTGAGTGCGGTGCGGTGAGTGCGGTGTCAGTGTGGTGTGAGTGTGGTGAGTGTGGTGAGTGCGGTGTGAGTGCGGTGTCAGTGCGGTGTCAGTGCGGTGAGTGTGGTGAGTGTGGTGTAAGTGTGGTGTGAGTGTGGTGCGGTGAGTGCGGTGTCAGTGTGGTGTAAGTGTGGTGAGAGTGTGGTGTGAGTGTGGTGCGGTGAGTGCGGTGTCAGTGTGATGTGAGTGTGGTGAGTGTGGTGAGTGTGGTGAGTGCGGTGTCAGTGCGGTGAGTGTGGTGAGTGTGGTGAGTGTGGTGTCAGTGTGGTGTCAGTGCGGTGAGTGTGGTGTGAGTGTGGTGAGTGTGGTGAGTGTGGTGAGTGTGGTGAGTGTGGTGTCAATGTGGTGAGTCTAGTGTCAATGTGGTGAGTGTGGTGAGTGTGGTGAGTGTGGTGAGTGTGGTGTCAATGTGGTGAGTGTGGTGAGTGCGGTGTCAATGTGGGGAGTGTGGTGTGAGTGTGGTGAGTGTGGTGAGTGTGGTGAGTGTGGTGTCAATGGTGTGAGTGTGGTGAGTGCGGTGTCAATGTGGTGAGTGTGGTGAGTGTGTTGAGTGTGGTGTCAATGTGGTGAGTGTGGTGAGTGTGGTGAGTGTGGTGTCAATGTGGTGAGTGCGGTGTCAATGTGGTGAGTGCGGTGTCAATGTGGTGAGTGTAGTGTCAATGTGGTGAGTGTGGTGAGTGTGGTGAGTGTGGTGTCAATGTGGTGAGTGTAGTGTCAATGTGGTGAGTGTGGTGAGTGTGGTGTCAATGTGGTGAGTGTGGTGTGGGAGTGTGGTGAGTGTGGTGAGTGTGGTGAGTGTGGTGTCAATGTGGTGAGTCTAGTGTCAATGTGGTGAGTGTGGTGAGTGTGGTGAGTGTGGTGTCAATGTGGTGAGTGTGGTGTGGGAGTGTGGTGAGTGTGGTGAGTGTGGTGAGTGTGGTGTCAATGTGGTGAGTGTGGTGTGGGAGTGTGGTGAGTGTGGTGAGTTTGGTGTCAATGTTGTGAGTGTGGTGTAAATGTGGTGAGTGTGGTGTGAGTGTGGTGAGTGTGGTGAGTGTGGTGAGTGTGGTGAGTGTGGTGTCAATGGTGTGAGTGTGGTGAGTGCGGTGTCAATGTGGTGAGTGTGGTGAGTGTGTTGAGTGTGGTGTCAATGTGGTGAGTGTGGTGAGTGTGGTGAGTGTGGTGTCAATGTGGTGAGTGCGGTGTCAATGTGGTGAGTGCGGTGTCAATGTGGTGAGTGTAGTGTCAATGTGGTGAGTGTGGTGAGTGTGGTGAGTGTGGTGTCAATGTGGTGAGTGTAGTGTCAATGTGGTGAGTGTGGTGAGTGTGGTGTCAATGTGGTGAGTGTGGTGTCAATGTGGTGAGTGTAGTGTCAATGTGGTGAGTGTGGTGAGTGTGGTGTCAATGTGGTGAGTGTGGTGTCAATGTGGTGAGTGTAGTGTCAATGTGGTGAGTGTGGTGAGTGTGGTGTCAATGTGGTGAGTGTGGTGTGGGAGTGTGGGAGTGTGGTGAGTGTGGTGAGTGTGGTGAGTGTGGTGAGTGTGGTGAGTGTGGTGTCAATGTGGTGAGTCTAGTGTCAATGTGGTGAGTGTGGTGAGTGTGGTGAGTGTGGTGTCAATGTGGTGAGTGTGGTGTGAGTGTGGTGAGTGTGGTGAGTGTGGTGAGTGCGGTGTCAATGTTGTGAGTGTGGTGTCAATGTGGTGAGTGTGGTGTGAGTGTGGTGAGTGTGGTGTCAATGTGGTGAGTGTGGTGAGTGTGGTGAGTGTGGTGTCAATGTGGTGTGAGTGTGGTGAGTGTGGTGAGTGTGGTGAGTGTGGTGTTAGTGTGGTGTGAGTGTGGTGAGTGTGGTGAGTGTGGTGTTAGTGTGGTGTGAGTGTGGTGAGTGTGGTGTGAGTGTGGGTGAGTGTGGTGAGTGGTGTGAGTGTGGTGAGTGTGGTGAGTGTGGTGAGTGGTGTGAGTGTGGTGAGTGTGGTGAGTGTGGTGAGTGTGGTGTCAGTGTGGTGTCAGTGCGGTGAGTGTGGTGTGAGTGTGGTGAGTGTGGTGTCAGTGTGGTGAGTGTGGTGTCAATGTGGTGAGTCTAGTGTCAATGTGGTGAGTGTGGTGAGTGTGGTGAGTGTGGTGAGTGTGGTGTCAATGTGGTGAGTGTGGTGAGTGCGGTGTCAATGTGGGGAGTGTGGTGTGAGTGTGGTGAGTGTGGTGAGTGTGGTGAGTGTGGTGTCAATGGTGTGAGTGTGGTGAGTGCGGTGTCAATGTGGTGAGTGTGGTGAGTGTGTTGAGTGTGGTGTCAATGTGGTGAGTGTGGTGAGTGTGGTGTCAATGTGGTGAGTGCGGTGTCAATGTGGTGAGTGCGGTGTCAATGTGGTGAGTGTAGTGTCAATGTGGTGAGTGTGGTGAGTGTGGTGAGTGTGGTGTCAATGTGGTGAGTGTAGTGTCAATGTGGTGAGTGTGGTGAGTGTGGTGTCAATGTGGTGAGTGTGGTGTGGGAGTGTGGTGAGTGTGGTGAGTGTGGTGAGTGTGGTGTCAATGTGGTGAGTGTGGTGTGGGAGTGTGGTGAGTGTGGTGAGTGTGGTGAGTTTGGTGTCAATGTTGTGAGTGTGGTGTCAATGTGGTGAGTGTGGTGTGAGTGTGGTGAGTGTGGTGTCAATGTGGTGAGTGTGGTGAGTGTGGTGAGTGTGGTGTCAATGTGGTGTGAGTGTGGTGAGTGTGGTGTGAGTGTGGTGAGTGTGGTGAGTGTGGTGTCAGTGTGGTGTGAGTGTGGTGAGTGTGGTGTGAGTGTGGTGAGTGTGGTGAGTGTGGTGTCAGTGTGGTGTGAGTGTGGTGAGTGTGGTGTGAGTGTGGTGAGTGGTGTGAGTGTGGTGAGTGTGGTGAGTGTGGTGTCAATGTGGTGAGTGTGGTGTGGGAGTGTGGTGAGTGTGGTGAGTGTGGTGAGTGTGGTGTCAATGTGGTGAGTCTAGTGTCAATGTGGTGAGTGTGGTGAGTGTGGTGAGTGTGGTGTCAATGTGGTGAGTGTGGTGTGAGTGTGGTGAGTGTGGTGAGTGTGGTGAGTGCGGTGTCAATGTTGTGAGTGTGGTGTCAATGTGGTGAGTGTGGTGTGAGTGTGGTGAGTGTGGTGTCAATGTGGTGAGTGTGGTGAGTGTGGTGAGTGTGGTGTCAATGTGGTGTGAGTGTGGTGAGTGTGGTGAGTGTGGTGAGTGTGGTGTCAGTGTGGTGTGAGTGTGGTGAGTGTGGTGAGTGTGGTGTCAGGGTGGTGTGAGTGTGGTGAGTGTGGTGTGAGTGTGGTGAGTGTGGTGAGTGGTGTGAGTGTGGTGAGTGTGGTGAGTGTGGTGAGTGGTGTGAGTGTGGTGAGTGTGGTGAGTGTGGTGAGTGTGGTGTCAGTGTGGTGTCAGTGCGGTGAGTGTGGTGTGAGTGTGGTGAGTGTGGTGAGTGTGGTGAGTGTGGTGTCAATGTGGTGAGTCTAGTGTCAATGTGGTGAGTGTGGTGAGTGTGGTGAGTGTGGTGAGTGTGGTGTCAATGTGGTGAGTGTGGTGAGTGCGGTGTCAATGTGGGGAGTGTGGTGTGAGTGTGGTGAGTGTGGTGAGTGTGGTGAGTGTGGTGTCAATGGTGTGAGTGTGGTGAGTGCGGTGTCAATGTGGTGAGTGTGGTGAGTGTGTTGAGTGTGGTGTCAATGTGGTGAGTGTGGTGAGTGTGGTGTCAATGTGGTGAGTGCGGTGTCAATGTGGTGAGTGCGGTGTCAATGTGGTGAGTGTAGTGTCAATGTGGTGAGTGTGGTGAGTGTGGTGAGTGTGGTGTCAATGTGGTGAGTGTAGTGTCAATGTGGTGAGTGTGGTGAGTGTGGTGTCAATGTGGTGAGTGTGGTGTGGGAGTGTGGTGAGTGTGGTGAGTGTGGTGAGTGTGGTGTCAATGTGGTGAGTGTGGTGTGGGAGTGTGGTGAGTGTGGTGAGTGTGGTGAGTTTGGTGTCAATGTTGTGAGTGTGGTGTCAATGTGGTGAGTGTGGTGTGAGTGTGGTGAGTGTGGTGTCAATGTGGTGAGTGTGGTGAGTGTGGTGAGTGTGGTGTCAATGTGGTGTGAGTGTGGTGAGTGTGGTGTGAGTGTGGTGAGTGTGGTGAGTGTGGTGTCAGTGTGGTGTGAGTGTGGTGAGTGTGGTGTGAGTGTGGTGAGTGTGGTGAGTGTGGTGTCAGTGTGGTGTGAGTGTGGTGAGTGTGGTGTGAGTGTGGTGAGTGGTGTGAGTGTGGTGAGTGTGGTGAGTGTGGTGAGTGTGGTGTCAGTGTGATGTCAATGTGGTGAGTGTGGTGTCAATGTGGTGAGTGTGGCGTCAGTGTGGTGTGAGTGTGGTGAGTGTGGTGTGGGAGTGTGGTGAGTGTGGTGAGTGTGGTGAGTGTGGTGTCAATGTGGTGAGTGTGGTGAGTGTGGTGAGTGTGGTGTCAGTGTGGTGAGTGCGGTGTCAATGTGGTGAGTGTGGTGAGTGTGGTGAGTGTGGTGAGTGTGGTGTCAATGTGGTGAGTGTGGTGAGTGTGGTGAGTGTGGTGAGTGTGGTGTCAATGTGGTGAGTGTGGTGAGTGCGGTGAGTGTGGTGTCAATGTGGTGAGTGTGGTGAGTGTGGTGAGTGTGGTGTCAATGTGGTGAGTGTGGTGAGTGTGGTGTCAATGTGGTGAGTGTGGTGAGTGCGGTGAGTGTGGTGTCAATGTGGTGAGTGTGGTGAGTGTGGTGAGTGCGGTGTCAATGTGGTGAGTGTGGTGAGTGCGGTGAGTGTGGTGTCAATGTGGTGAGTGTGGTGTCAGTGTGGTGAGTGCGGTGTCAATGTGGTGAGTGTGGTGAGTGTGGTGAGTGTGGTGTCAATGTGGTGAGTGTGGTGTGGGAGTGTGGTGAGTGTGGTGAGTGTGGTGAGTTTGGTGTCAATGTTGTGAGTGTGGTGTAAATGTGGTGAGTGTGGTGTGAGTGTGGTGAGTGTGGTGAGTGTGGTGAGTGCGGTGTCAATGTTGTGAGTGTGGTGTCAATGTGGTGAGTGTGGTGTGAGTGTGGTGAGTGTGGTGTCAATGTGGTGAGTGTGGTGAGTGTGGTGAGTGTGGTGTCAATGTGGTGTGAGTGTGGTGAGTGTGGTGAGTGTGGTGAGTGTGGTGTCAGTGTGGTGTGAGTGTGGTGAGTGTGGTGAGTGTGGTGTCAATGTGGTGTCGTGGCCGCGTAATCCCCACGAGGCCGATCGCTGCTCGTTGCATTTCATCGTTGTACGTAGAGAGTCACAGGTCACGGGGTCACGGGGTCAGATGACGGCAAACACTCGGAACGCCTTCCCTCCCGGGGGGTTCTGCAAACTGTGGAGAGAACGAACGGGTCAACCACAGTCAACCACACTCAACCACACTCAACCACGGTCAACCACGGTCAACTACAGTCAACCACAGTCAACCACACTCAATCACGGTCAACCACAGTCAACCACAGTCAACCACACTCAACCACAGTCAACCACACACTCAACCAAACTCAACGACATCATCACAATCACGTAACATGGCCTAGCGGTAGTGCGTCGCCGCTTGTTGTTACACTCACACCGCAAAGACCCCCCCCCCCCGCATCGCCATAAACGTTGGGGTGAGCGCTGTTAGCGAGCACCTATTAAGGCCGGCACGGCACACGAGGGGGCAGGTTGCCAGCACAACGCCCGGCCGCCTTTGTCTTCCCGCTTGCGATGTTTTACACACCGCACCAGGTAACTCATTTGAGGCCGAGTCGACCTCGGGGAGGCCCAGGACCGGTTCGGATAATCGTCGCCAGTGTTGGTGGCCGTGAGCGGGGAATCGAACTCGGGGCGCCGGGTTCGTGGCGCAGCGCTAACCGTGAAGCCACCGCTCCCCTCGCATCAACGACAATAACTAAGTGGCGCTGACGTCACCACGGCGCTTGTGCCAGGCTACGTGCACGTTAAGGCCACGTGAGGTGTCGAACGCCCGCTGGCAGGAGGCCACGAGACAGACCCAGCAGGTGCCATGGTTCGACTGACGGAGATGCACCACACGCACGCACAGACACACGCACGCACAGACACGCACGCACAGACACACGCATGCACACACGCACACGCAGAGACACACGCACATACACACACGCATGCAGAGACACGCACATACACTCACACACGCACAGACACGCACGCACAGACACACACACGCACAGACAGACACACATTCACAGACACACACACAGACACAGACACACACACACACAGACACAGACACACACACACACGCACAGACACACACGCACAGACACACACGCACCGACACACACACACGCACAGACACACACGCACAGACACATACACGCACACACACACACGCACAGACACACACACGCACAGACACACGCACGTACAGACACACACGCACTGCACCACACACGCACAGACACACACACAGACAGACACACGCACAGACACACGCACGCACAGACACGCACGCACAGACACACACGCACACGCGCACACACGCACAGACACACACACACGCACAGACACACATACACGCACAGACACACACACGCACAGACACACACACGCACAGACACACACACAGACAGACACACGCACAGACACACGCACGCACAGACACGCACGCACAGACACACACGCACACGCGCACACACGCACAGACACACACACGCACAGACACACGCACGTACAGACACACACGCACTGCACCACACACGCACAGACACACACACAGACAGACACACGCACAGACACACGCACGCACAGACACGCACGCACAGACACACACGCACACGCACACACACGCACAGACACACACACACGCACAGACACACATACACGCACAGACACACACACGCACAGACACACGCACAGACGCACGCAGGTGGCCGCACCTCTCGGAGAAGATGCCGTTCTGGAAGGAGGCGAGATACTCAGACTTCTTGTCGACGGGCATCAGGTCCACGTAGCCGCCGCGCGCGTTCTGCACCACGCCGGCATGCACCGCCACGCGGCACGCGCTCGACAGCTGACCGGGGGGATGCACGCCGACAGAAATCGCCGGCTCACTCGCTTCAACATCGACGACGACGACGGCAGTCGCCCGTTCGCCACCAAAGCGGCAGCGGCGCCGTCACGAGGGCGCTTGTGACGCAGGTCACGAGCACTTTTGGAGGCCACGCGGAGCGTCGAAGGCTCCCAGGTAGGTCGCTCACTCCGCTGACTGCCGCCTCGCTCACGGACTCACTACCATACTCATCAACACGCTCACTAGCATACTCATCAACACACTCACTACCATACTCATCATCACACTCACTACCATACTCATCATCACACTCACTACCATACTCATCATCACACTCACTACCATACTAACCAGCACGCTCACTACCATACTCATCAACACACTCACTACCATACTCACCAGCACACTCACTACCATACTCATCATCACACTCACTACCATACTCACCATCACACTCACTACCATACTCATCATCACACTCACTACCATACTCATCATCACACTCACTACCATACTCATCATCACACTCACTACCATACTCACCATCACACTCACTACCATACTCACCATCACACTCACTACCATACTCACCAACACACTCACTACCATACTCATCAACACACTCACTACCATACTCACCAGCACACTCACTACCATACTCATCATCACACTCACTACCATACTCACCATCACGCTCACTACCATACTCACCAACACACTCACTACCATACTCATCAACACACTCACTACCATACTCACCATCACACTCACTACCATACTCATCATCACACTCACTACCATACTCATCAACACACTCACTACCATACTCATCATCACACTCACTACCATACTCATCATCACGCTCACTACCATACTCATCAACACACTCACTACCATACTCACCATCACGCTCACTACCATACTCACCAACACACTCACTACCATACTCATCAACACACTCACTACCATACTCATCATCACACTCACTACCATACTCATCATCACACTCACTACCATACTCATCAACACACTCACTACCATACTCATCAACATACTCACTACCATACTCACCATCACACTCACTACCATACTCACCAACACACTCACTACCATACTCATCAACACACTCACTACCATACTCATCATCACACTCACTACCATACTCACCATCACACTCACTACCATACTCACCAACACACTCACTACCATACTCACCAACACACTCACTACCATACTCATCATCACACTCACTACCATACTCATCATCACACTCACTACCATACTCACCATCACACTCACTACCATACTCATCATCACACTCACTACCATACTAACCAGCACGCTCACTACCATACTCATCAACACACTCACTACCATACTCACCAGCACACTCACTACCATACTCACCATCACACTCACTACCATACTCACCAACACACTCACTACCATACTCATCAACACACTCACTACCATACTCATCATCACACTCACTACCATACTCATCAACACGCTCACTACCATACTCATCATCACACTCACTACCATACTCACCATCACGCTCACTAGCATACTCATCATCACACTCACTACCATACTCATCATCACACTCACTACCATACTCATCATCACACTCACTACCATACTCATCATCACACTAACTACCATACTAACCAGCACGCTCACTACCATACTCATCAACACACTCACTACCATACTCACCATCACACTCACTACCATACTCACCATCACACTCACTACCATACTCACCAACACACTCACTACCATACTCATCAACACACTCACTACCATACTCACCAGCACACTCACTACCATACTCATCATCACACTCACTACCATACTCATCATCACACTCACTACCATACTCACCAACACGCTGACTACCATACTCATCAACACACTCACTACCATACTCACCATCACACTCACTACCATACTCAATCATCACACTCACTACCATACTCATCAACACACTCACTAGCATACTCATCATCACACTCACTACCATACTCACCATCACACTCACTACCATATTCATCATCACACTCACTACCATACTCATCAACACGCTCACTAGCATACTCATCATCACACTCACTACCATACTCATCATCACACTCACTACCATACTCATCATCACACTCACTACCATACTCATCATCACACTAACTACCATACTAACCAGCACGCTCACTACCATACTCATCAACACACTCACTACCATACTCACCATCACACTCACTACCATACTCACCATCACACTCACTACCATACTCACCAACACACTCACTACCATACTCATCAACACACTCACTACCATACTCATCATCACACTCACTACCATACTCACCAACACGCTGACTACCATACTCATCATCACACTCACTACCATACTCACCAACACGCTGACTACCATACTCATCATCACACTCACTACCATATTCATCATCACACTCACTACCATACTCATCATCACACTCACTACCATACTCACCAGCACACTCACTACCATACTCCTCATCACACTCACTACCATACTCATCATCACACTCACTACCATACTCACCAACACGCTGACTACCATACTCATCATCACACTCACTACCATACTCACCAACACGCTGACTACCATACTCACCATCACATTCACTACCATACTCATCATCACACTCACTACCATACTCATCAACACACTCACTACCATACTCACCAACACACTCACTACCATACTCATCATCACACTCACTACCATACTCACCAACACGCTGACTACCATACTCATCATCACACTCACTACCATACTCACCAACACGCTGACTACCATACTCACCATCACATTCACTACCATACTCATCATCACACTCACTACCATACTCACCATCACACTCACTACCATACTCACCAACACACTCACTACCATACTCACCAACACACTCACTACCATACTCACCAACACGCTGACTACCATACTCACCATCACACTCACTACCATACTCACCATCACACTCACTACCATACTCACCATCACACTCACTACCATACTCACCAACACACTCACTACCATACTCATCATCACACTCACTACCATACTCACCAACACGCTGACTACCATACTCACCAACACACTCACTACCATACTCACCAACACACTCACTACCATACTCACCAACACACTCACTACCATACTCACCAACACACTCACTACCATATGTGTAGTGTAGTAGAACGACACTACTGTATTGGCCCGATTGGGGGGCTATAGGTAGGTGTCACGGGAGTCGTGTCGGGCCGTGACACTCTGCGTGAACCCAACAGGACACGTGACCGGATAAAGGGGGGCCAGGGGTCCCAGGGGGGTCACGTGGTTGGGGGTTCGGGCCTTCCGGAAGGATCGGGAAGGGGGACGTGGCCACGCCGGAGTGGTTATCAGCGGTGTGTGGACGGAGAGCGGGGCCTGTTCTGGGCTGTTCTTCTGGGTCAACTCTGGGATGAAGCTCTCCGCTCTCCGCTAGTGGACCAGGCAGCGTGTTGGGCTGTCCTGGCCCAGTGAAGTAGTATCCTCGCGTGTGAGCTAAGTTAGTGAAGGTGGCTATCACCTTAAGTCGTTGTGTTAAGCGTTCATTGTTATGTTATCTAATAAATAGTGTTGCCTCCCAAGTTCCAGTGTGCGCTTGAATTTAACCCACTACAATACCAACACACTCACTATCGTACTCGCCAACACGCTCGCTACGACACTCACCGATTCAAATAACCGTCATTGGTGTTAGCAATCGAACTCCGGTTGCTGGGTTCTTAGCGCAGCACGCTAACCCCTAGGTCGACTCAGCCTAAAATGAGTACCTGGTGCGGTGTGTAGTAAATTAGGCCACTGGGGAGACAAAAGCGGCCGGGCGTGGTGCTGGCGACCCATCCCCCCGTGTGGAGTGCCGGCCTTCATAGGTGCTACTCACTAACAGCACTTGCCCCAACAGCCTGGCGAGGCTACACGGGGGATCTTTGTCTTTGCGTCACTCACGTCAGAGTAGATCGTTGAGCCAATGACGCGCGCTTGATGAGGGTTGTGCTGCATGCAGTGAGCGGGGCAGTGAACCCTGGGGGGCGGGGGGGGTATGGGGGGGGGGACAGACACAGGGGTGAGGTGGAGTGAGGTGGGGTGGGGTGAGGTGTGGTGAGGTGGGGTGAGGTGGGGTGAGGTGGGGTGAGGTGGGGTGAGGGAGCCAGGACTCCTCACCATGCTCACTCCAAACCTCGCTACTCATCCCAAAACCCCGACGACTCCCAAATCCGCACCTGAACAACAATCACCTAAACCAAACTTACCTGGTGGACTCACACTCACCCAGACCCAGTACTCACTCACCTGGACTCACGCTCACCTCACACTCACCTCACACTCACCTCACACTCACCTGGACTCACACTCACCTGGACTCACACTCACCTCATGCTCACCTGGACTCACACTCACCTCACACTCACCTGGACTCACACTCACCTGGACTCACTCACCTCACACTCACCTGGACTCACACTCACCTGGACTCACCTCACACTCACCTCACACTGACCTCACACTCACACTCACCTGGACTCACACCCACCTCACACCCACCTCACACTCACCTGGACTCACACTCACCTCACACTCACGCTCACCTGGACTCACACTCACCTGGACTCACACTCACCTCACGCTCACCTGGACTCACACTCACCTCATGCTCACCTGGACTCACACTTACCTGGACTCACCTCACACTCACCTCACACCTCACGTTCACCTGGACTCACACTCACCTCACGCTCACCTGGACTCACACTCACCTCACACTCACCTGGACTCACACTCACCTCACACTCACCTGGACTCACACTCACCTCACGCTCACCTGGACTCACACTCACCTCACGCTCACCTGGACTCACACTCACCTCACACTCACCTGGACTCACACTCACCTCACACTCACCTGGACTCACACTCACCTCACGCTCACCTGGACTCACACTCACCTCACGCTCACCTGGACTCACACTCACCTCACACTCACCTGGACTCACACTCACCTGGACTCACCTCACACTCACCTCACACCTCACGTTCACCTGGACTCACACTCACCTGGACTCACACTCACCTGGACTCACACTCACCTCACACTCACCTGGACTCACACTCACCTGGACTCACCTCACACTCACCTCACACCTCACGTTCACCTGGACTCACACTCACCTGGGCTCACACTCACCTGGACTCACCTCACACTCACCTCACACCTCACGCTCACCTGGACTCACACTCACCTCACACTCACCTGGACTCACACTCACCTCACACTCACCTGGACTCACACTCACCTCACACTCACCTGGACTCACCTCACACTCACCTCACACCTCACGCTCACCTGGACTCACACTCACCTCACACTCACCTGGACTCACACTCACCTCACACTCACCTGGACTCACACTCACCTCACACTCACCTGGACTCACCTCACACTCACCTCACACCTCACGCTCACCTGGACTCACACTCACCTCACACTCACCTGGACTCACACTCACCTGGACTCACACTCACCTGGGGCAATGCGTCGCTGGTTTCCTGTACGGACACAGTTGGCCCACGGTGGTGACACAGTCCAGGGCCTTCACTGTGGGGGGGGGGGGGGCAGCGGGGGGGGGCAGCGGGGGGGGGGCACTCGTCTCCATTAGGGGATGGGGGGGAGGGCGGGAGAGAGCGGCGGGCCCCCCGTTCTTGAGCGGTGAGGGTGAGCGGTGAGCGTGAGCGGTGAGGGTGAGCGGTGAGGGTGAGCGGTGAGGGTCGAGCGGTGAGGGTGAGCGGTGAGGGTGAGCGGTGAGGGTGAGCGGTGAGGGTGAGCGGTGAGGGTGAGTGGTGAGGGTGAGCGGAGCGAGATTAGCGCGGGTGCTTTTGAGGGCGGTCGCCCGGATTTCCAGGAGGCTCATCAGTGGAAGAGCAAGCGGCTTGCCAAGCATCATCATCATCTTCTTCATCATCCCTCCCTCCCTCCCTCCGGGGTAGCATCATCATCATCAGGCACGGGTGGTGGAGCAGTCGAAACTAAGCTGTTAAACTATTCATTTACTACATTTAGATTTAAAGCTTTCGTGACTGCAGGGATTCATATTCTTGGTTCTTTCGGTAAAGTCACGAGAAAATGTTCTTGCTGTGGATTTCACACCTGATGACGATTGCTTGTGTTGCAGTGGAAACGTCGTGAGAATTGTATTGTTTAATATTTTTATTATTTTATTATTTCCCTTCTACGTGACTTTACCGAAAGAACCAAGAATATTTATTTACTAGTTTAATTGCAAGTCACGTGACGGGCTCATAAATATTAAGTTGAATGAAAAAGACCGAAAAATGTAAAGATTGTATCGAATTTATTCCATCGAACATATCTCCATATATATATAAAATTTGGTGTAAATTGATGATCATCTCCCAAAAGTTTTCCTTGACATGAATTTTGTTCTTATTGGATTCTGCATTAATGTGATTTATTTTACTATTTATAAACCGGAAGGACAGGTCGTTGTTCACTAATTTTCGCCAAAAATGTTTTATCGCTTTTGCCGAAATGAATTGCACTCGGTTACAATAACTTACTGGATTCTGAATTTACGTGAACTTGAGAAAAGTTACTTTTTGTTATTGATCGGAAGGAATTTTCACTCCAAGTGCGAGAAAAAGTCATGAAAGTGAAACTGAACTGAGCTCAAATTAAAAGCGGATTCCGCTATTTCATTTCAATTTCTATTCGACGTCCAAAAAAAATTGCTACAAATATTGCCACGCACAAATTAACCGAATAGATTATATACTATCATTATTTTGTAAGGCCGCGCAAAACGAAAAGATAAAATAATAAAACGGGGGCGCACCTATCAAAAGCGGCGGTGTACATTTTTGAGGAATAAATGTATTATTTTTGTAATAACTAATAATTAATTAGTTAAAATTATCATATGATAAACATTTCATGAAAAACTTTACATATTTTTTCATGACAATCCACGTGGCCAGCCAGCGGCGTTACACAGAGCATGCCGAGTGTCAGGCGTGACGCACCGATCACCAAATCTACGTGTAACACATTGTCCTGCGGAGGGAGCTGGTAAGAACGTTGGGTTGCTCGGTCAATGGCCAGGGTCAACGGCGGCGTGGTGTATTCCGCAAATATGCCCGACTGTGAGGGCGGGCACAAGCCGGCGTGAGTAGGTTAAATGTTGAGTTATTTAAGGGCACCACGGGGTGACCAGCCCCTCCCCACCCAGCCCCACCCCTCCCACCCCTCCCCCAGCCCATCCCTCCCCACCCAGCCCCTCCCCACCCTCCCCTCCCCACCCTCCCCTCCCCACCCAGCCCCTCCCCACCCTTCCCACCCAGCCCCTCCCCACCCTCCCCTCTCCACCCAGCCCCACCCCTCCCATTTTTGGATGCACGACAGACGGACAGACTAATCCCCTGTGGGCTGGTGTAACCAGGAGGTTCCTACCAGTATTATTTTACCAGGTAAGGCCCACTGAGCTATATTGCCATTTTTCAGAAGCGACCTGGCTACAGATGATAAGAGCCCAGCGAAGCGGCTCATCATCATCACGTGGACATGTACAGCAGCAGCCAAACACTCGAAACGCGTCACGTCGATTGTAAATGTGGAGGCAAAAAATAAACGAAGGACCCGGAGACAAATCCGCGCGACCACGGGGAGAGAGAGAGACACGCAAACTCCAAATATACAGCAGCAGGGGTCGGGATCGAACCCACGACCTCCTGTATACCAGGCGAGGTAGTTAACATCTCCTAGCTACCGTGATTATGATGAGAGAGAGAGAGACACGCAAACTCCAAATATACAGCAGCAGGCATCAGGGTCGGGATCGCACCCACGACCTCCTGTACACCAGGCGAGGTAGTTAACATCTCCTAGCCAACATGGTGCTCTGTCAGGAGTGGTCAGAGATGGTGAAGGTGGAGAGGCATGCTGAGGGTCAAGGGGTGGTGATGGGTGAGGGATGAGGGGTGGTGAACGTCTGAGGGGTGAGGGACAGCGGGTGGTGAGCGGTAGTGAGTGGTGGTGAGGAGCTGCGCTCACTCACCCGTCACGCGGAACACAGTGAAGGAGTTGGCGGGGCGGTACTTGCTGTGGGACAAACAGAGGCGCAAGTCACCCTCAACCCCTGAGACTCACTCCTGAGCCTCACTCCTGTAGCTCACGCCTGAGACTCACCCCTGAGACTCACCCCTGAGACTCACCCCTGCCACTCACTCCTGCCACTCACTAATGCCATTCACTCCTGCTACTCACTCCTGCCACTCACTAATGCCACTCACTCCTGCCACTCACTCATGCCACTCACCCCTGCCACTCACTCATACCACTCACTCATACCACTCACTCCTGCCACTCACTCCTGTCACTCACTAATGCCACTCACTCCTGCTACTCACTCCTGCCACTCACTAATGCCACTCACTCCTGCCACTCACTCATGCCACTCACCCCTGCCACTCACTCATACCACTCACTCATACCACTCACTCATGCCACTCACTCATGCCACTCACTCCTGCCACTCACTCATGCCACTCACTCATACCACTCACTCATACCACTCACTCATACCACTCACTCATACCACTCACTCATACCACTCACTCATACCACTCACTCATACCACTCACTCATACCACTCACTCCTGCCACTCACTCCTGCCACTCACTAATGCCACTCACTCCTGCCACTCACTCATGCCACTCACCCCTGCCACTCACTCATACCACTCACTCATACCACTCACTCATACCACTCACTCATACCACTCACTCCTGCCACTCACTCATACTACTCACTCATACCACTCACTCATGCCACTCACGAATGCCACTCACACCTGAGCCTCCGGCCACTCACTCCTGCTACTCACTCCTGCCACTCACTCCTGCCACTCACCCCTGCCACTCACTCCTGCCACTCACTCATGCCACTCACTCATGCCACTCACGAATGCCACTCACACCTGAGCCTCCTGCCTCTCACTCCTGCCACTCACTAATGCCACTTACTAATGCCACTCACTCATACCACTTACTAATACCACTCACTCCTGCCACTCACTCCTGCCACTCACTCCTGTCACTCACTCATGCCACTCGTTCCTGCCACTCACTCATACCACTCACTCATGCCACTCACTCATGCCACTCACGAATGCCGCTCACTCATACCACTCACTCATGCCACTCACTCCTGAGCCTCACTCCTGCCACTCACGAATGCCACTCACGAATACCACTTACTCATACTACTCACTCATGCCACTCACTAATGCCACTCACGAATACCACTCACTCATGCCACTCACACCTGAGCCTCCTGCCACTCACGCCTGCGACGCACACCTAATACTCAACCCCGTGACTCACACCTGAGCCTCACTCTCGCCACTCATTCCCGCAACCCAGTCGTGTGAGTCACCTGATGGAGGTGATGCCCTCGCGGGTCGACTTCACAAAGAACGGGATGCGTCCGTTGCGCGTCACGTCCACCCAGCCGCCCTCGTTGTCCACAATCCCATAATGCATTGCGGCGCGGCATACGCTCGATTGCTGCGGGACCACGTGACCCAACACGCGGCCGTCACGTCAGTCACGTCATCAGCATGCCACTGGTCACGAAAGTCATACGACCGCTACGCAGCATGCCGTGTTGTAGTGCACTGTACCACGTCATTGTACAATACATTGTATGATGTCGTTCTACCACATTGTAATGCACTGTACCATTTCGTTTTAAGGAGTGTGCATCGCAAGGGATGGCATCTCGAGGAGCATCGGTCCACCGATAATATAATAACGTCATGGGACCTCCCTTGCCAGTATCAAAATATGAGAATATGTTTCACCCTTTCTGGCAATAAAACGGTTGTGTTAAGATGTTAAAACAACAAACTGAAACCTTTTGCAAGAAATCATGTCTGCATTAACCACATGTACCTGTGGTGAACATACAAAAAAGACATGCTCTGGTAGTATGTGATGCATTGTCTTTGAAACTGATTGGTCCACACCAGAGACAGCTTTCTTTAGAGCCTAGTCTCAAACAGTGTTAGACCAGAGGACGCCAAAAGGCGACCAGCACAAAGACAATGCCACTATCTTATGGCGGCTCGTTCGAAAGTACGGATGTTCATAAGTCGGACGTTCGTATCTCAGGGACCGCCTGGACATTGTACCACGTCCATCATACCACATTGTAACATATTGTACCACGTCATTGTACCGCGTTGTATAATGCATTGTAGCGTGTGACACGTGACTAGCACGTGCCATTATGCCTCGTACCATGTCATAGTAAAGGGTGCCGATCACCTTGCCACTGCTGTAGAAACAGCCCGCAGGGCACTCGTACCTGCACACAGGTGAGGGGGGGGTCACGTGACGCAGATGTAGGGGGGGGGGTGACGTAACAAATGTGTGTGGGGTCACGTGACGCAGGCGAGTGGGGTGATGTGACAATGCGCTCACCTGTTGCACGGCGTGCCCTTACAGCGATCGCGCAGCTTGGTGTCGCACGTGACCTTCTGAGCTGCACGGCAAGAGGGCGACACAGGGTGATGGACATCAACATCACCACATCATCGCCACGCCATCAATACGTCCGCACCACCACCGTTCCGGCGACATCATCACCGCTACCGTTCTGTCATCGTCACCACAACACCACCATGCCATCACCACCACCTTGGTATCATCGCCACAACATTACCACCACGATGCTATCATCAGCACCACCATCCCACCACGACCAACACATGGTCATGACTGCAGTTGCCCCACGGTTGTATGGATGGTACGATGTGCGTGCGTTTGTGTGTGGGCAGTGGTCGTGTAGTGGTTAGCGCGCTGTGCTCGAACCCGGTGACCCGAGTTCGATTCGCGCTCACGGCCAAAACCAATGACGAATGTCTGAAATGGTCACGAGCCTCCCTTACATCAACTCAGCCTCAAATGAGTATATGAACCTTATGGCGGGACCCTCGGGGTCCCGAATAAATGGAAGTCAATATCGTAATTAATTTATTTCTTTTTGGCGACTGCGCACATAAACGCCAAGACACACCTGGCGCGGATCATTCTGTTGTCGTGTCGTCCAGCGAGCTCGAATGCGCAGAAGAAACAAAACTTTTAAACTTTTGATTAGCGCATCGTGTAGAGCTCATCGAGAGGAATTCGCCTTCAACAGACATAAAATGACGTCGCAACGCAGTTTATGCGAGAGCCGGGGGCTTATGGGACCCCAGGGTTCGGCCATAATGTTCATTATGGTGTGGTGCGTAAACATCACCACTAGGGAGACAAAGGCAGTTGGGCGTGGTGCTGGCCACCAACCCCGTCGTGCGCAGTGCCCGACCTTCACAGGTACTCGCTAACAGCACTTGCCCCAACAGTCCGTTGAGGCTACACGGGTATGGTGGGGGGGGGAGACATTTGTCTTTGTGTTCGGAAACGTCTGACCTGCCCCTATTGGAGACATCTCATATCTGCATTTCCCATAAATATGCTAAATTCCTCTTGATATGCAAATTATTTTGTCAAGGAGCTCTTCCCCCCTCCATCCCTGCTTAAATAGTCGCTCCAAGCCTGGGGTGTGTCATTCAGACTCTGTCTTCTCGACAGACCTGTTCTCCACCTGAGGACGGCTGCTTGCGTTGTGGCCGAAACGTCGTGAGAATTATTTTATTATGTTTGATTTTTATCATTTTATTATTTCCATTCTACGTGACTTTACCGAAAGAACCAAGAAGAAGCTTCACAGCTCTTCGGATTCCTCCAGCGTCAAATAAATATTCTGACGATGTGGGTGCGTGCGTGTGCGCGCGTGCCGCGGAGAGGCGAGGGAAGAGGGCGCCTACTCATTTCCTCTACGCTTATTACTTCGCGAATGTCAAATTCTCTCGCGTCCGGTGGGGCCACGGGGGGTGACGCGGTGGTCGTGGTGCGAGCGGGCCGGGTCGGCTCCACCTCGTTCGGGCCCTCCTCTTCCTCGGTCTCCTCGTCCTCCTCCTCCACCTTGGTGCCCGTGTCGGGCCCGGGCAGAGGCCGCTCGCCGCTCCCTCCTGCAGAGAGAGAGGGGGGGGGGGACACTGGAGGACGACACTGGGGGCAGTCTCAGGGGCTATGGAAAGTGTCGGGCCTAGTGTTAGTGTGAGGCTTAGTGTTAGTGTGAGGCCTAGTGTTAGTGTGAGGCCTAGTGTTAGTGTGAGGCCTAGTGTTAGTGTGAGGCCTAGTGTTGGTGTGAGGCCTAGTGTTAGTGTGAGGCCTAGTGTTGGTGTGAGGCCTAGTGTTAGTGTGAGGCCTAGTGTTGGTGTGAGGCCTAGTGTTAGTGTGAGGCCTAGTGTTAGTGTCAAGGCAAGTGTTAGTGTGAGGCCTATGGTTAGTGTGAGGCCTAGTGTTAGTGTGAGGCCTAGTGTTAGTGTGAGGCCTAGTGTTAGTGTGAGGGCTAGTGTTAGTGTGAGGCCTAGTGTTATTGTCAGGCCTAGTGTTAGTGTCAGCGCTAGTGTTAGTGTGAGGCCTATCGTTAGTGTCAGGGCTAGTGTTAGTGTGAGGCCTAGTGTTAGTGTGAGGCCTAGTGTTAGTGTGAGGCCTAGTGTTAGTGTGAGGCCTAGTGTTAGTGTGAGGCCTAGTGTTGGTGTGAGGCCTAGTGTTAGTGTGAGGCCTAGTGTTAGTGTGAGGCCTAGTGTTAGTGTGAGGGCTAGTGTTAGTGTGAGGCCTAGTGTTATTGTCAGGCCTAGTGTTAGTGTCAGCGCTAGTGTTAGTGTGAGGCCTATCGTTAGTGTGAGGCCTAGTGTTAGTGTCAGGGCTAGTGTTAGTGTGAGGCCTAGTGTTAGTGTCAGGGCTAGTGTTAGTGTGAGGCCTTGTGTTAGTGTGAGGCCTTGTGTTAGTGTGAGGCCTAGTGTTAGTGTCAGAGCTAGTGTTAGTGTGAGGCCTAGTGTTAGTGTGAGGCCTAGTGTTAGTGTGAGGCCTAGTGTTAGTGTGAGGCCTAGTGCTAGTGTCAGGCCTAGTGTTAGTGTGAGGCCTAGTGTTAGTGTGAGGGCTAGTGTTAGTGTGAGGCCTAGTGTTAGTGTCAGGCCTAGTGTTAGTGTGAGGCCTAGTGCTAGTGTCAGGCCTAGTGTTAGTGTGAGGCCTAGTGTTAGTTTCAGGGCCTAGTGTTAGTATGAGGCCTAGTGTTAGTGTGAGGCCTTGTGTTAGTGTGAGGCCTTGTGTTAGTGTGAGGCCTAGTGTTAGTGTGAGGCCTAGTGTTAGTGTGAGGCCTAGTGTTAGTTTCAGGGCCTAGTGTTAGTGTGAGGCCTAGTGTTAGTGTGAGGCCTAGTGTTAGTGTGAGGCCTTGTGTTAGTGTGAGGCCTAGTGTTAGTGTCAGGCCTAGTGTTAGTGTCAGGGCTAGTGTTAGTGTGAGGCCTAGTGTTAGTGTGAGGCCTAGTGTTAGTGTCAGGCCTAGTGTTAGTGTAAGGCCTAGTGTTAGTGTGAGGTCTAGTGTTAGTGTGAGGCCTAGTGTTAGTGTGAGGCCTAGTGTTAGTGTGAGGCCTAGTGTTAGTGTGAGGCCTAGTGTTAGTGTGAGGTCTAGTGTTAGTGTGAGGCCTAGTGTTAGTGTGAGGCCTAGTGTTAGTGTGAGGCCTAGTGTTAGTGTCAGGGCTAGTGTTAGTGTGAGGGCTAGTGTTAGTGTGAGGCCTAGTGTTAGTGTCAGGCCTAGTGTTAGTGTCAGGGCTAGTGTTAGTGTGAGGCCTAGTGTTAGTGTCAGGCCTAGTGTTAGTGTCAGGGCTAGTGTTAGTGTGAGGGCTAGTGTTAGTGTGAGGGCTAGTGTTAGTGTGAGGCCTAGTGTTAGTGTCAGGCCTAGTGTTAGTGTGAGGCCTAGTGCTAGTGTCAGGCCTAGTGTTAGTGTGAGGCCTAGTGTTAGTTTCAGGGCCTAGTGTTAGTATGAGGCCTAGTGTTAGTGTGAGGCCTTGTGTTAGTGTGAGGCCTTGTGTTAGTGTGAGGCCTAGTGTTAGTGTGAGGCCTAGTGTTAGTGTGAGGCCTAGTGTTAGTTTCAGGGCCTAGTGTTAGTGTGAGGCCTAGTGTTAGTGTGAGGCCTAGTGTTAGTGTGAGGCCTTGTGTTAGTGTGAGGCCTAGTGTTAGTGTCAGGCCTAGTGTTAGTGTCAGGGCTAGTGTTAGTGTGAGGCCTAGTGTTAGTGTGAGGCCTAGTGTTAGTGTCAGGCCTAGTGTTAGTGTAAGGCCTAGTGTTAGTGTGAGGTCTAGTGTTAGTGTGAGGCCTAGTGTTAGTGTGAGGCCTAGTGTTAGTGTGAGGCCTAGTGTTAGTGTGAGGCCTAGTGTTAGTGTGAGGTCTAGTGTTAGTGTGAGGCCTAGTGTTAGTGTGAGGCCTAGTGTTAGTGTGAGGCCTAGTGTTAGTGTCAGGGCTAGTGTTAGTGTGAGGGCTAGTGTTAGTGTGAGGCCTAGTGTTAGTGTCAGGCCTAGTGTTAGTGTCAGGGCTAGTGTTAGTGTGAGGCCTAGTGTTAGTGTCAGGCCTAGTGTTAGTGTCAGGGCTAGTGTTAGTGTGAGGGCTAGTGTTAGTGTGAGGCCTAGTGTTAGTGTCAGGCCTAGTGTTAGTGTCAGGGCTAGTGTTAGTGTGAGGCCTTGTGTTAGTGTGAGGCCTAGTGTTAGTGTGAGGCCTAGTGCTAGTGTCAGACCTAGTGTTAGTGTGAGGCCTAGTGTTAGTGTGAGGCCTAGTGTTAGTGTCAAGCCTAGTGTTAGTGTCAGGCCTAGTGTTAGTGTCAGACCTAGTGTTAGTGTCAGACCTAGTGTTAGTGTGAGGCCTAGTGTTAGTGTCAGGCCTAGTGTTAGTGTCAGGCCTAGTGTTAGTAGGAGGCCTAGTGTTAGTGTCAGGGCTAGTGTTAGTGTCAGGGCTAGTGTTAGTGTGAGACCTAGTGTTAGTGTCAGGCCTAGTGTTAGTGTCAGGCCTAGTGTTAGTGTCAGGCCTAGTGTTAGTAGGAGGCCTAGTGTTAGTGTCAGGGCTAGTGTTAGTGTCAGGGCTAGTGTTAGTGTCAGACCTAGTGTTAGTGTGAGGCCTAGTGTTAGTGTGAGGCCTTGTGTTAGTGTGAGGCCTAGTGTTAGTGTCAGAGCTAGTGTTAGTGTGAGGCCTAGTGTTAGTGTCAGAGCTAGTGTTAGTGTGAGGCCTAGTGTTAGTGTAAGGGCTAGTGTTAGTGTCAGGCCCAGTATTAGTGTGAAGCCTAGTGTTAGTGTCAGGGCTAGTGTTAGTGTGAGGCCTAGTGTTAGTGTGAGGCCTAGTGTTAGTGTGAGGCCTAGTGTTAGTGTCAGAGCTAGTGTTAGTGTCAGACCCAGTGTTAGTGGCAGGCCTAGTGTTAGTGTGAGGCCTATTGTTAGTGTCAGACCTAGTGTTAGTGTGAGGCCTAGTGTTAGTGTGAGGCCTAGTGTTAATTTGAGGGCTAGTGTTAGTGTGAGGTCTAGTGTTAGTGTCAGGGCCAGTGTTAGTGTGAGGCCTAGTGTTAGTGTCAGGCCTAGTGTTAGTGTCAGGGATAATGTTAGTATCAGGGATAGTGCTAGTGTGAGGCCTAGTGGTAGTGTCAGGGTTGGTGCTGCTGCTGCCGCACCCCAGAAGCACATGTTGTCCCGGCAGCCCCCTCCGTAGCTGGGGGGGCACTCCGAGCACGGCCGCCCCACCTTGTAGGGGGCCGACCCCCACCAGTTTGCCCCTGGAACACACAATGAGTGGGGGTTGGAGGCGCCACAGTGGAGAGATGTTAACTACCTTGCCTGGTATACAGGAGGTCGTGGGTTCGATCCCGACCCTGACGCCTGCTGTCTACTTGGAGTTTGTATGTCTCTCTCTCTCCCCGTGGACGCGTGGATTTTTTTTACGGGTATTCCAGTTATTCCTTCCACGTTAAGAAACATTCATTTACAGTATTTGGCTGCTACGCATTTCCACGCGATAAGCCAATAAATTGGGCTATCATTTGTGGCCAATTCGCTTCTGAAAAAGAGCAATATAACTCAGTGAACCTTACTTGGTAAATAAGTAAAATAAGTTGTAAATAAGTAAAATAAGTTATTGATAGGGCTGGATGGCTTAGAGATCAGGGATCATGTTGCTGAGATCCAGAGTTCCAATCCCTGACCAATCGGGGATCTCAATTGTAGTGAGTTGATGGTCTCAGCCTGATCACCCGTGACTTACACAGAGACTTGCATAGAGACCCATCGACTCGCACAGCAAACCTACTGACTTACATAGAGACCCATCGACATCCGCTTACAATGGTGTCCAGGCTGAGACCATCAACTCACCGGCCTTGAGAACTCGGGTTTAACCACACATGGCTGAACACTGCCACTGTGAACCCATACAAATGTAGTGGGGTATTGTTAGCGTTACACGCGGTTACCACTACTCACCTGGTGTAGCATCAGCCATTGGTCAACAGGGGGCAACGGCGAGTACGGCCTGTATCAAGTAACGCCGTTAGGCCAGGGAACCCAGAGGGCCGTTGGGAATCGGAGGTATACGCAATATAGTAGTAGGTTTTTACCCTTTAAACTGGTATAAAACTGACACCTTTATACAAGGCATCATGTTTGCAATAACCGCAACACAAGCAGTCAAAATGCAAACAAAAAGAAACAACTCTGATAATGGTAATGATGTGCATAGTGTAAATGCTTACCCCGAGCTCTCAATACTCTGATAGTGCACTGTTTTTGAGTTGTACGCCTTTTGGCGTCATCTGGTCCAACACCAATGGAGACTAGGCTCTAAGAAAAGCTGTCTCGGGTGTGGACCAATCAACTTCAAGGACAGTGCATATCATTACCATTATCAGAGTTTTTTCTTTTGATTGCATTTTGACTGCTTGTGTTGCGGTTATTGCAAACATGATGCCTTGTATAAAGATGTCAGTTTTGTACCAGTTTAAAGGATAAAAACCTACTACTATATTTTGCCACTGGTAAAGGAGGTCTCATAGTATATACGCAAGAGTCCAGGTCCCTCCAGAAGGTTCTAGAGAGTAGGCGTGGCCAGGGGCAGAGTGACACTGGGAGCTGTATATAAGGCGGACCCCCCTGAACGGGTTTGCCAGTAGTCGTCAAGCTGAAGACCCAAAAAGCCAGCCTAGCAAAAGACCCTGGGAACACCCGGACCCGCCGTCCTTCTCAGGGCCGGGACTGAGAGGGCCAGTGGTCAGACCCTGGGAACCCCCGACCAGACGTCCTTCTCAGGGCCGGGACTGAGTGAGCCAGTGGTCGGACCCTGGGAACCCCCGACCAGACGTCCTTCTCAGGGCTGGAACTGAGTGGGCCAGAGGACCTTGGCTGGGTCAGGTTAGCTAGTCCCCTAGCCGGAGGGCTGATATATAGAGGAAGTGGTCCCAGTGAGTAGGACACGCTCGCCCGGAGGCTATACCTCCCCAGGGTATCGGGTGGAAGGGTCGATACCCCCTTTGTGCTCGGGACCTCGTGTTATAGTTGTTACTGTTAAATAAACGTGTTGCCTCGAGAAGAAGACTCTGTCTCCATCATTACCACTGCACAAATATACAGCCACACTCGGAGCTTGAACCCAGGATCTCAGCAGTGCCGGCTCTTCCTTTTGTAAAGACAACCGACACACGTTCTTGCTTTACTAGGAGCCTTTGTTGCAGACACGAACACTATTCTTTAGGCCCAAACTTTGTCTTCTTTCCAACCGTCTCTTCCCCTTGTTCTATCCCCTTTTAAATCCCTCGAAGTCCCCTTTCTCGAAGGTTCGCTCCCCCCCCCCCCCCCCCATTTCCCTCAGCCAATCCCCGTCCTCCTTCTCCAATGGTTGTCAACCGTCTTCCCCGTCAATGAACCCACAGGGCTTAAAACCCCAGGATATAATCGGTGCTGGCCAGTGCCAGATTATCCTAGTAGCAAAAGTAGCTACAAATGCTACAGACCCCGCGCTTTCAAGGGCCCCACGCTAAATGCTTTCAAGCTATCAATTCCGGTGCAGTGCTTCTGCACTTGCTCTATTACTATAGTACTATACCGCCTTCAACTTTTATGAACGACTGGGTGTTTAAGGTTAGCGATTTCTTGTATTATCCGGCTGTATAGTAAATAAAAAAATAAAAATTACTATGCAAGTTAAAAATGTATGTTTCAATATGTACGTGTATTTTCGTTATTTAGGACCCCTTTATAACATATGCTACAGGCCCCCACACTGGCTTAACTAGTGCTGGCTCGGTGTCTCCGACACGGCCATGGTGAACCCGCGGAGCGAGAGAGCGAGACACTGGGGGGCTCGAACCGGGACGCCTCTACTCACTTGGGGGCGTAGTTGCAGACGAGGTAGACGGCACGGGCCCACACCTGGCCCCACACGTTCATGTTGTAGCACAGGTTGATGGCGCAGCCGATCCGACTGGAGGTGGCCCACACGAGCTGTGGGGCAGGGGCAGGGATGAGGGGCAGGCATGAGAGCAAGGTCAGGGGCAGGCACGGAGGTGAGGCACGAGCAGAGCTAGAGGTTGAGTGGTTAGGGTTCGAGACAGGGACGGCGTTAGAGACAGGTGAGTGCACGTGGTGAGTGCATGTAGTGAGTGCACGTGGTGTGTGTCTCACCTGCGTGTAGTGAGTGCGCGTGGTGAGTGCACGTGGTTAGTTTCACGTGGTGAGTGCACGTGGTGAGTGTCACGTGGTGAGTGCACGTGGTGAGTGTCACGTGGTGAGTGCACGTGGTGAGTGGCTCACCTGCGTGTAGTGGGTGCACACGGGCCCTGTGCAGCGGAAGGGGCACCAGGGATTGCACTCGTGCGGGTACGGGAAGCTGTAGTCCCGCACCTCGTCGTACCACGCCTGCACATGGAACGTGGGGGGGCGAAACCTATGGGGGGGGGGCGTGGGGAAGAGGAGGGGGGCACGGGGGGTGCAGGGGGGCATGGGGGGGGGAGCAGGGGGGGTTAGCCTTGATAGGAGCCCCCTCCCACCCTTAAATTTGGCTCCAACCAGAGGTCACATTTATAGGTAAGATACTCCTCCAACACTTACCTGTCCCTCTGCATTAAGAAAAATATATAGAAAAAATATGTCTTTAGACCTCCCATCAGCCGCACCAGTTAAATGGAACCGGTGTTGGCCACCGCTCCACGTGGATCGATATCTGCAGCTGCCAACAGGCAACGCGAGAGCAGTAGACTGGATGTAGTGTGTCCAACGTGTGCGGAAACGTCTCCTCCGAGTCGCCAATCCGGACAGAGGGCAATGAAATGTCCCAGTCATGCCGGTAACTTGTTAGGAAACCACCGGGGGGCTATGCACTTTTTGTCTTTAGTTCGTTGTCTTCCCCCCCCGCCCATCCGCGCCGCACCTCCGATTCACCACAGTTGGCTACGCACGGTACGAAAGAAGCTCAACGCAACGCACAACCCTCAGGTGACATCTCAGCCGCAATGTCCACGTGGCGCCACGAGGGAGCGGTAGAATTCGCTAACCGCGTGGGGGATGCGCTCACCTCAGTGCCCTCACCCCACTCACCACCCCCCTCACCTGCCCCAGTGCCCCCACCCCCCCTCACCTCAGTGCCCCCACCCCCCTCACCTGCCCCTGTACCCTCACCCCCCTCACCTGCCCCAGGACCCTCACCCCACTCACCACCCCGCTCACCTGCCCAGTGCCCTCACCCCACTCACCTCAGTGCCCGCACCCCACTCACCTGCCCCTGTACCCTCACCCCACTCACCACCCCCGTCACCTGCCCCTGTACCCTCACCCCACTCACCACCCCACTCACCACCCCACTCACCTGCCCCTGTACCCTCACCCCCCTCACCACCCCACTCACCACCCCACTCACCTGCCCCTGTACCCTCACCCCACTCACCACCCCACTCACCTGCCCCTCACCCCGCTCACCTGCCCCTCACCCCACTCACCTGCCCCAGTGCGCCCCCAGGTTCTGGCCGATGCGGCTGAGCTCCCCGGCGGGGCCGTGCTCCCACAGACACGTCTCGGCCCAGTGCTCGGCAGAACGTTCCAGCTCCGAGTCCCACACCTACACCACACACACATCACACGTGCATCACACACACACGCGTCACATCACACACACACATCACACACACACATCACACACACACATCACACACACACGCATCACACGTGCATCACACGCATCACATCACACACGCATCACATCACACACACACACACGCGTCACACGCATTACACGCATCACATCAAACACACAAGTGCATCACACACACAGGCATCACATCACACACGCGTCACATCACACACACACGCATCACACCACACACACATCACACGTGCATCACACACACAGGCATCACATCACACACGCATCACATCACACACACGCGCGCATCACACGCATCACACCACACACACATGCATCACATCATACCCACACACACCACACACACACACGCGCATCACATCAGAAACACACGCATCACACACATCACACCACACACATCACATCACACACATCACACCACACACATCACATCACACACGCGCATCACATCACACACACACGCATCACATCACACACACACACCTCACACACCACACACACCACGTCACAGGACAGACCCAGGTGCCACAGGTCGAGTGACTGAGATGACTGAGATGACTGGCCATTGCACCACCTGTGCTCCTTCCTGTGCCAAATTGCTGCGTTTTAGACACCCGGCGCTCCGCTCGTTGTTGTGAGCGTTGCTCCTCTGCCCTCCGTTGTTGCTGGAGGGCGACTTCCTCCAACTGCCCAGCAGCGTCATTCACGAGCCTCCTCCACAGAGGCCGATCTTGACACCGCTAGTACCAGTCATTGACAAGTCCACTCAGCTCCACATCCTCCTGTACCACATCACTCCATCTCTTATCTAGCCTGTTGAGCCCCCTCTATCCGGCCGAACAAAAGCTGTTTAGGCATGCGGTGGCTGGGCATGCGGGCTCCATGACCCAGCCAACGCAGCCTTGGCTGCCGGAGGAGTTCATTGATGGGACTTTGTCCAGATCTTTCAAGGCTCTGTGAGCTCCTCACACAATCCAGGCTGATTATACCCAAGAAAGATTTTACTTTAGAATGTACAACTCCTCCTCCCCCACCACCACCAACAACAAAGATAAAGATCCCCCGTATAGCCTTAACAGAATGTTGGGGCAAGTGCTATTAGCGAGCACCTATGAAGCCCGACACGGCACACGAGGGGGTGGGTGGCCAACACCACGCCCGGCCGCCTTTATCTCCCTAGTATCGATGTTTCACCGCACCAGGTACTCATTTGAGGCTGAGTCAACCTAGGGAAGGCCCAAGACCGTTTCAGATAATCGTCACCGGTGTTGGCCGTGAGCGGGAATCGAACCCGGGTCGCCGGGTTCGTAGCGCAGCGCGCTAACCACTACACCACCCGCTTCCCACTACGCACACCCATCAAGGAGGCTGTTGTAGGAGGGGAAAGGGGGGTGGGTCAATCAATGAAGGTCAGGTCAAGGTCAAACCTCCACCCCCCCCCCCCTCATTCTATTTTATTTGACCAGGCGATATCATCTCAAACGACAGCTCAACCAAGTGGCTCATTTATCATCGCGTGGAAATGTGTAGCATATTCTTAGGTTTTTTCGGTAAAGTCACGTAGGTAAAAAAATCTAGCTGTGACGGTTCCACCTGATGACGGAGACTTGTGTTGCCTCCGAAACGTCGTGATTTTTTTTATTTCTATTATTACTTTTATTAATTTTATTTTTTTTACCTACGTGACTTTATCGAAAAAACCTAAGATTATGAATCCTTGCAGTCACGAAAGCTTCAAATCTAGAAATATATAGCAGCCAAATACAGTAACTCTAAACGCCTGTGGTGTCGATTCTAAAGGCGGAGGTGGGGCGGGAAATCGGAGGACCCGTTGAAAAATCCACGCGACCACGGTGAGAGAGAGAAACACCGCAAACCCCAAATATACAGCAGCAGGCGTCAGGGTCGGGATCGAACCCACGACCTCCTGCACACCAGGCGAGGTAGTTAACATCTCACCACGGAGAGAGAGAGACACGCAAACTCCAAATACACTGCAGGCGTCAGGGTCTGGATCGAACCCACGACCTCCTGCACACCAGGCGAGGTAGTAAACATCTCACCACGGAGAGAGAGAGACACGCAAACTCCAAGTATACAGCAGGCGTCAGGGTCTGGATCGAACCCACGACCTCCTGCACACCAGGCGAGGTAGTTAACATCTCCTAGCCACCGCGATGATGATGAGGGAGAGAGAGAGACACGCAAACTCCAAATATGCAGCAGCAGGCGTCAGAGTCTGGATCGAACCCACGACCTCCTGCATACCAGGCGAGGTAGTTAACATCTCCTAGCCACCGCGATGATGATGAGAGAGAAACGCAAACTCCAAATATACAGCAGCAGGCGTCAGGGTCAGGATCGAACCCACGACGTCCTGTACACCAGGCGAGGTAGTTAACATCTCCTAGCCACCGTGATGATGATGATGAGAGAGAGAGACACGCAAACTCCAACTACACAGCAGGCGTCAGGGTCGGGATCGAACCCACGACCTCCTGTATACCAGACGAGGTAGTTAACATCTCCTAGCCACCGCGATGATGATGAGAGAGACACGCAAACTCCAAATATACAGCAGCAGGCGTCAGGGTCGGGATCAAACCCACGACCTCCTGTATACCAGGCGAGGTAGTTAACATCTCCTAGCCACCGCGATGATGATGAGAGAGAGAGACACGCAAACTCCAAACATACAACAGCAGGCGTCAGGGTCGGGATCGAACCCACGACCTCCTGTATACCAGGCGAGGCAGCTAACATCTCCTAGCCACCGTGATGATGATGATGAGAGAGAGAGACACGCAAACTCCAACTACACAGCAGGCGTCAGGGTCGGGATCGAACCCACGACCTCCTGTATACCAGACGAGGTAGTTAACATCTCCTAGCCACCGCGATGATGATGAGAGAGACACGCAAACTCCAAATATACAGCAGCAGGCGTCAGGGTCGGGATCAAACCCACGACCTCCTGTATACCAGGCGAGGTAGTTAACATCTCCTAGCCACCGCGATGATGATGAGAGAGAGAGACACGCAAACTCCAAATATACAGCAACAGGCGTCAGGGTCGGGATCAAACCCACGACCTCCTGTACACCAGGCGAGGTAGTTAACATCTCCTAGCCACCGTGATGATGATGATGAGAGAGAGAGACACGCAAACTCCAACTACACAGCAGGCGTCAGGGTCGGGATCGAACCCACGACCTCCTGTATACCAGACGAGGTAGTTAACATCTCCTAGCCACCGCGATGATGATGAGAGAGACACGCAAACTCCAAATATACAGCAGCAGGCGTCAGGGTCGGGATCAAACCCACGACCTCCTGTATACCAGGCGAGGTAGTTAACATCTCCTAGCCACCGCGATGATGATGAGAGAGAGAGACACGCAAACTCCAAATATACAGCAACAGGCGTCAGGGTCGGGATCAAACCCACGACCTCCTGTATACCAGGCGAGGCAGCTAACATCTCCTAGCCACCGTGATGATGATGAGAGAGAGAGACACGTAAACTCCAAATCTACAACAAGCGTCAGGGTCTGGATCGAACCCACGACCTCCTGTATACCAGGCGAGGTAGTTAACATCTCCTAGCCACCGCGATGATGATGAGAGATAGAGACACGCAAACTCCAAATCTACAGCAGGCGTCAGGGTCTGGATCGAACCCACGACCTCCTGCATACCAGGCGAGATCGTTAACATCTCCTAGCCACCGCGATGATGATGAGAGAGACACGCAAACTCCAAATACACAGCAGCAGGCGTCAGGGTCGGGATCAAACCCACGACCTCCTGTATACCAGGCGAGGCAGTTAACATCTCCTAGCCGCCGTGATGATGATGAGAAAGAGAGACACGCAAACTCCAAATACACAGCAGCAGGCGTCAGGGTCGGGATCGAACCCACGACCTCCTGTACACCAGGCGAGGTAGTTAACATCTCACCACGGAGAGAGAGAGAGACACGCAAACTCCAAATATATAGGAGGCATCAGGGTCGGGATCGAACCCACGACCTCCTGTACACCAGGCGAGGTAGTTAACATCTCCTAGCCACCGTGATGATGATGAGAGAGCGAGAGACACGCAAACTCCAAATATACAGCAGCAAGCGTCAGGGTCGGGATCGAACCCACGACCTCCTGTATACCAGGCGAGGTAGTTAACATCTCACCACGGAGAGAGAGAGACACGCAAACTCCAAATACACAGCAATTGTCAGGGTCGGGATCGAACCCACGACCTCCTGTACACCAGGCGAGGTAGTTAACATCTCCTAGCCACCGTGATGATGATGAGAGAGCGAGAGACACGCAAACTCCAAATATACAGCAGCAAGCGTCAGGGTCGGGATCGAACCCACGACCTCCTGTATACCAGGCGAGGTAGTTAACATCTCACCACAATGAGAAAGAAACACCGCAAACTCCAAATACACAGCAATTGTCAGGGTCGGGATCGAACCCACGACCTCCTGTACACCAGGCGAGGTAGTTAACATCTCCTAGCCACCGTGATGATGATGAAAGAGCGAGAGACACGCAAACTCCAAATATACAGCAGCAAGCGTCAGGGTCGGGATCGAACCCACGACCTCCTGTATACCAGGCGAGGTAGTTAACATCTCACCACAATGAGAGAGAAACACCGCAAACTCCAATACACAGCAATTGTCAGGGTCGGGATCGAACCCACGACCTCCTGTATACCAGGCGAGGTAGTTAACATCTCACCACAATGAGAGAGAAACACCGCAAACTCCAATACACAGCAATTGTCAGGGTCGGGATCGAACCCACGACCTCCTGTAGACCTGGCGAGGCAGTAAACATCTCCTAGCCACCGTGATGATGATGAGAGAGACACGCAAACTCCAAATATACAGCAGCAAGCGTCAGGGTCGGGATCGAACCCACGACCTCCTGTAGACCTGGCGAAGCAGTAAACATCTCCTAGCCACCGTGATGATGATGAGAGAGACACGCAAACTCCAAATATACAGCAGCAAGCGTCAGGGTCGGGATCGAACCCACGACCTCCTGTAGACCTGGCGAGGCAGTAAACATCTCCTAGCCACCGTGATGATGATGAGAGAGACACGCAAACTCCAAATATACAGCAGCAAGCGTCAGGGTCGGGATCGAACCCACGACCTCCTGTAGACCTGGCGAGGCAGTAAACATCTCCTAGCCACCGTGATGATGATGAGAGAGACACGCAAACTCCAAATATACCGCAGCAAGCGTCAGGGTCGGGATCGAACCCACGACCTCCTGTAGACCTGGCGAGGCAGTAAACATCTCCTAGCCACCGTGATGATGATGAGAGAGACACGCAAACTCCAAATATACAGCAGCAAGCGTCAGGGTCGGGATCGAACCCACGACCTCCTGTAGACCTGGCGAGGCAGTAAACATCTCCTAGCCACCGTGATGATGATGAGAGAGACACGCAAACTCCAAATATACAGCAGCAAGCGTCAGGGTCGGGATCGAACCCACGACCTCCTGTAGACCTGGCGAGGCAGTAAACATCTCCTAGCCACCGTGATGATGATGAGAGAGAACACGCAAACTCCAAATATACAGCAGCAAGCGTCAGGGTCGGGATCGAACCCACGACCTCCTGTAGACCTGGCGAGGCAGTAAACATCTGCTGGCCACTCACAAGGTACCATGTTCGAGGCCGATGGGGACACCTGGCCCCGCAGTGTTGTTGTGGAGGTCCAGGATGACGGCCTTGTCGCTTTCTGAGATGGCTCTGCGCAGCCTCCTCGTGCTGCTGGCGCTGTAGTTGCCACTGTTGTAGTTGTTGCTGCTGTAGTTGTTGCTGTTGTAGTTGACACTGTTGTAGTTGTTGCTGCTGTAGTTGACATTGTTGTAGTTGTTGCTGCTGTAGTTGACACTGTTGTAGTTGCTACGCTGTAGTTGTTGCTGTTGTAGTTGCCACTGCTGTAGTTATTGCTGCTGTAGTTGCCACTGCTGTAGTTGCTACTGTTGTAGTTGTTGCTGCTGTAGTTGCCACTGTTGTAGTTGTTGCTGCTGTAGTTGTTGCTGCTGTAGTTGACGTTGTTGTAGTTGTTGCTGCTGTAGTTGCTGCTGCTGCTGGAGTTGTTATCGCTCTTGTTGCTGTTGCGCTTGCTGCTGCTGTAGTTGTTGCTGCTGTTGTTGCTGTTGTTGTGCTGATGTGTTGTTGTGCTGCTGTAGTTTCTGCTGTGTTGTGTTGCTGCTGGTGCTGCTGTGTTGCTGCTGCTGCTCCCCTGAGCATCCGCGCCGGTCGGGTCATCAAGATCTCCCACTCGGGCGAGATGGAAGCCAAGGAGGAGGAGGAGGACGATGATGAGGATGAGGAGGATGCGGCGAGGGTGATGAGGGCAGCTAGGGGCAGCCGACCATGGTAGGGCTCACGGCGCTCGGAGCTACCCGAGGACTCAAGGAGGTCAGCGGAGACGGGTTCACGATGGAGGCCATGCGGACTGCCAGTAGTGCCTGCGCGCGTGTGTGGGGGGGGGGGGGGTAACATGGGGGGGGGGGTAAGATGAAGAGGAGAGGTAAGACGAGGGTGAGAAAGTAATCATTCATGATGAGTGGTGGGTGGTTTTTTTTTTCCATAGAGCACCCTCTATGCGGGGACTGGGAGCGGCGCACCACGTGACCGGCGTCTCATCTCGAACATTCCACATTCCGAGGGCACCCCCAGTGGCAGCTAAACCTTCAAGCACATCGCGCTTGGGTCAGGGAGTGGGGGTAGGGGGGGGTTAGCAACGCTGGATGCAACCATTCCCACCCTCCCGCCCACAATTCCCCCCACCACTCATCCCCCTCCTCACCACTGACCGCCTCCCTCACCCCCCCCCCCATCCTCTCCTTTTCTCTGGCGATTCTAAACTAAACAACTTTTATTTTATTGTACCAGGTAGGGGCCCCACTGAGCTATGTAGCTCTTTTTC